GGCAGTGAACAGTGACATTACCCACATGAATCTGACCTATATATAGTGTCAATGAATATGATGCATTTCTTTGTGTACGAACCTCTGTCCTGCATGGCAGTGAACGGTGACATTACCCACATGAATCTGACCTATATATAGTGTCAATGAATATGATGCATTTCTTTGTGTACGAACCTCTGTCCTACATGGCAGTGAACAGTGACATTACCCACATGAATCTGACCTCTATACATATATAGCTGTTAACGAATATGATGTATTTCCTTGTGTATGAACCTCTGTCCTGCGTTGCAGTGAGAAGTGATACCACCCTCAGTGTCAAGACCTGACTGAATTACTCAGAATAGGCAAACTGTACTAGAATCTTTGCCAATAAATTTGTTAAACTAAAAAACTAAAACTAACAGTATTATCATAATATAATTCAGTATAATGATCCCAGAGGCTAATCATACCGTAGTATAAAACACTTTTAAACAAGAGAACTGTAAAAAAATTATGATACTTTATTTAATTGACAGTCTCACTTATTATACCACTGTGCCTTCCATATGACTGTGCTGTTAATAAAGATGATTTTAGCCACACGTAAGGGAGGTGGTATCTTTAAGTTTATTGATTATTTCACCAATTACTAACTGTTCAGGCGCGTGGTAATGTATCTCGTCTCTAATTATATGGGCAATTAAAATGTAACTAAGTATACAGGGATAACTAATTATCTCTTAAAAAGCCGGTTTTCTTTACTTATCTCTTAAAAGCCGATTCTCCGTATAACTTAAAAGTCGGTTCTCCGAATAACTCTTCAAAGCCGGTTCTCTCTCCCCTTCTCTTAAAAATAAAAGTACATGCAAAAGGAATTCGTTTCAATGCGGGCTAACTGACTGTATTTACGGATGAGTTAGTGAAACAGTGCGAGAGCGGGTATGAGTAACAACAGTGCGGGTATGTCAGGGAGGTGTGGGGTATGTCAGGGAGGTGTGGAGTATGTCAGGGAGGTGTGGGGTATGTCAGGGAGGTGTGGAGTATGTCAGGGAGGTGTGGAGTATGTCAGGGAGGTGTGGAGTATGTCAGGGAGGTGTGGAGTATGTCAGGGAGGTGTGGAGTATGTCAGGGAGGTGTGGAGGTGTGTGTCAGGGAGGTGAGGTCAGGATGGTGGGGTATGTCAGGGAGGTGTGGGGTATGTCAGGGAGGTGTGGAGTATGTCAGGGAGGTGTGGGATATGTCAGGGAGGTGTGGGGTATGTCAGGGAGGTGTGGAGTGTGTCAGGAAGGTGTGGGGTATGTCAGGGGGGTGTGGGGTATGTCAGGGAGGTGTGGAGTATGTCAGGGAGGTGTGGAGTATGTCAGGGAGGTGTGGAGTATATCAGGGAGGTGTTGAATTCCATCCATCTTCCCTCTTGAGACACGGTCCTGAGAAACTGTCCTTGGAGAGCTACAATGTTATACTAATACTGTAGCATTGTACCCGAGGGCTGACCTGTCAAGCTACTAACCCGTGTTAATGTTGTTTTAGGTGTTTGTAAACTGGATTTATACGATAGCAACTGCATAACAGACCTGCTATAATGATTTATTTTTTTTATATTTTTTTTATTTTTTTTTTGTAATAAGTTAATTGAACCAGGTATTGTCTCTTATGTTCATTTTGGTTTGAATCTTATTTATTTGGTATTCATCCTCTCTCTCTCTCTCTCTCAAACTACATCAATGACGACTTGTTAAAGGCAATTTATACGCGAAACCCACGCCACCTATGCTTGCCCCATGCCACCTATGCTTGCCTCACGCCACCTATGCTTGCCCTCACCAATCACTGTCTACCCAATCCTGTTCCTTCATCCTAACCGTCCAATCAGTTTAACCTGTGTTGCGTTACGACTTCCCTCACGTACTGTTCAGTCATCAAATCACTCGACAACCAATCCCTCCCGCCAGAACAAAAATATATATGAATTATGATTAAACTTGAATCAATCCTCGTTAAAACAGCAAAGATACATTAACCGATGACGAATTCCCTCCACCACCCCATCCGATAACACCACATACCCTCACCCTATAACACCACATACCCCCCACCCGATAACACCACATACCCGCCCCCCATTCACAGAGTATCCCATCAGTTAAGAAAGAATGGCCTTAACAAAGCTCTATTGCAGATATCCCTACCACCAGGATGTTCGCAATATTAGCCACAATGTGCTTCTGCTTGTATCACTCTGCTTGTCACACAGGGTCGAGCAGGCAGGCAGGCAGGGCAATGGTGAATTAATTATTGTTATTATTATTGTTGTTATTGTTATTATTCTTAGTATTACTATTGTTGTTATTATGGTTATTATTTTTTATTGTTATTATTGTTGTTATTATTTTTATTATTATTGGTGTTATTATTATTATTATTATTATTATTATTATTATTATTATTATTAAATATCTTAACTCCATGATAACACTGACCATCTGACAACATTGACCACCTGACCGCTAACCACCTGTCAACGCTGTCCACCTGACAACACTGACCACCTGACAACACTGTCCACCTGACAACACTGACCACCTGACAACATTGACTACCTGACAGCATTGACCACCTGACAACACTGACCACCTGACAGCATTGACCACCTGACAACACTGACCACCTGACAACACTGACCACCTGACGGCATTGACCAATTGACAACGTTAATAATTTGACAAAATTGACCACTTGACAACACTGATCACCTGACAACACTGACCACCTGACAACATTGACCACCTGACAACACTGACCACCTGACAACATTGACCACCTGACAACACTGACCACCTGACAACATTGATCACCTGGCAACACTTATCACCTGACAACACTTATCACCTGACAACATGGACCATCTGACAACATTGACCACCTGACAACACTAATAATCTGACAACATTGATTATCTGACAATGCTGACCACCCGACAACACTAATCATCTGACAACATTGACCACCTGACAACACTAATAATCTGACAAAATTGACCACTTGACAACATTGACCATCTGACAACATTGACCACCTGACAACATTGACCATCTGACAACGCTGACCACCTAACAACATTGACCATCTGATAACATTGACCACCTGACAACATTGACCACCTGACAACATTGACCATCTGACAGCGCTGACCAGCTAACAACATTGACCATCTGATAACATTGACCACCTGACAACACTCATAATCTGACATTGACCATCTGACAACGCTGACCACCTAACAACATTGACCATCTGACAACGCTGACCACCTGGCAACATTGACCACCTGACATTGTCCATCTGACGACATTAACCACCTGACAACATTGACCACCTGACAACACTAATCATCTGATAACATTGACCACCTGACAACATTGACCACCTGACATTGTCCATATGACAACATTAACCAGCTGACAACACTAACCATCTGACAACACTGACCACCTGATAACACTAACCATCTGACAACACTGACCACCTGATAACACGAACCATCTGACAACACTGACCACCTGAAAACATTGAGATTTCGCTGAGTTTTACATTATGAGCGAATTTTTATAACTCAGCGAAATTTTAGATTTGCCAAGTACAGTATGTGTGTGTGTGTGTGTGTGTGTGTGTGTGTGTGTGTGTGTTGACGCAGTTATAAAAGTGATCCTTTAAGAAAAGTTAAACAAGACAAAACGAAGAAATTTGACCAAGAGTTCTATTTGTTTGGCCTTGTAGTCAAATATAGTTTTGTATTATAATCTAAACTGTCATTAACATTCTAGAGCCACGATATGATATTTGAAATGACTAGTAGCTTAGAACCCCATTAGATACAGGCGGGAACACACGACGGTTACTTACAAACATCCACATATGACACAACGGTATTATATTAGTTAGGATGAGCTGAACCAAACTAATTTAACCTAACTTATATAAATAATAAATATAACTTATGATCGTTAAGTTAGATAGTTTATGGTAGTTTGGTTTACGTCCTCATGTTTATTTAAGTAACTTGTGGGTTTAAATACCATCTGTCCTTCACTTTTTATAATTAAAAACACTAATTCAATAATTCTGAAAGGTTTTATGTTGCACTATAAGACACACTACTAACTCGCCCATTCCCTTTGTTAATTTCCGTATCTGACCCAAGTAAAACGAGCAACAGAGAAGAGTGTGGAGCTAACCTTAACCTTGACGAAGTTAAAGCCGAGCCGCCTGACAACACCCACAGGTTGTTTTCCTGAGGTCCACCTTCATGTGTGTGAGTGTGTGTTGCTTCAAACAGTCCTATCACCCCCTCACGCCACATTTATAAACATTCCCGCCGTTTGAAGTTTGCCACACAATAAAAAGTACTGATACAAGTTATATTAAACGTGTCTCCTTTACTGTGACAGTGGAACATATTGTCCAGTATCAAAATAGTTCATCGAGCGTTGGGTGCTCCATTGTTTCCCTTTTTTCCTGTGATTTTATCAAGATGTACTGTACTGTATGTTTATTGCTACAGTATTTTTCATGCATAGTCTTATTAATTCCTTTACAAATTTTAGTTGTTACTAGACTTGAATCTGTTTAATGTTTTTAATTGTGCACCATTATTGAGAGAAGATAAACTAAAAGGTAAACGCTTTTTGCGCCGTATTGTGAGAATTCAAAATTTAAAACTTACTAAATTGATTTGTCTCTAATGCACCAGCAACTGGGTTTTAATGGCATACAGTATGTAGTATTAAAACAAGATAATTAAACATGGTCCATGATGTATACAAGCAAAATATTTAGTTTTCTTTCCCATGTAATATTCACTTATTTGGTTTCATTATATTCGTAGTTTTCATCGAACCAGCTACTGTTTTCATAACCTAACCGAACCTAACATAACTTCATAACCCAACCTAACCTAACCACGCACAGTACGGTAAAAACAACAGGACCACACATCCATAAATGAACCTTACCTTTTTTCTCCTCCTGGTGACAGTCCTCAGCTGGCCAGCGTGTAAAGTAACAATTCTTGAATCAATAAACAAACACAATTAAGCCACCCATCTCACTCCTTACATAACATTTATTGTGTGAGGCCAGCACCACTACTGTGTGAGGCCAGCATCACTACTGTGTGAGGCCAGCATCACTACTGTGTGAGGCCAGCATCACTACTGTGTGAGGCCAGCATCACTACTGTGTGAGGCCAGCATCACTACTGTGTGAGGCCAGCATCACTACTGTGTGAGGCCAACACCACTACTGTGTGATACCAGCACCACTACTGTGTGAGGCCAGCATCACTACTGTGTGAGGCCAACACCACTACTGTGTGAGGCCAGCATCACTACTGTGTGAGGCCAGCATCACTACTGTGTGAGGCCAGCACCACTACTGTGTGAGGCCAGCATCACTACTGTGTGAGGCCAGCATCACTACTGTGTGAGGCCAGCACCACTACTGTGTGAGGCCAGCATCACTACTGTGTGAGGCCAGCACCACTACTGTGTGAGGCCAGCACCACTACTGTGTGAGGCCAGCATCACTATTGTGTGATGCCAGCACCACTACTGTGTGATGCCAGCATCACTACTGTGTGAGGCCAGCACCACCAGTTTGGACCAGAGACTAATAACAGTGAAGACTATTTTTATCCTCGGCACACCAGGACCAGGACACGGTGTATGGCCGGCGGAACTGCCACTCAGCGGTCTTCACTTCCCCAATTTACATCACGTACTTATTTATAGCTGGGTCGACTAGGGCTGCCCTGGGCGCGAACTAGTGACTTTTAGGACAGGAGTTGAGCGTTGTAGTCACCCACCCACTGCGTCATTTATCTAGACAGTTGTGTACAGTAAACAGCATGAGGGTTTAGTTAAAGATGTTCATCTTGCTGTGTTGTTCAAGGTCAGTGGTAAGAGCAGGAGTATGCGTTTGTTTGATTAATATGTTGACTGAGCGGGTGTGAGTGTGCATGGTAGCCCTCCGCACACGCACACACACAGGGAGAAAGTTACAATACTGAGGCACATTCTTGCATGCATGACTCGAGTTAACGAATGAAGTGTGTGTGTGTGTGTGTGTGTGTGTGTGTGTGTGTGTGTGTGTGTGTGTGTGTGTGTAACCTCAAACCCAATGACCCTTCTCTTGACCGTTATTCATTTTCCTTTCAGTTTCACATTAAAGGACAAAACAAAATATCTCGCTCTCTTCGCATTCTACTGGGACACACTCTACCAGGACACACTACCGGACACATTCTACTGGGACACACTACTGGGACACAATACCAGGACACACTACTGGGACACACTAACGGGACACACTACTGGGACACACTACTGGGACACACTACTGGAACACAATACTAGGACACACTACTGGAACACACTACCAGGACACACTACTGGGACACACTAGTGGGACACACTAACGGGACACCAATAAACAGGTAGACTCACCTTCCTTGGTCTTGAGGGGAATGGTTTCCTCTGCAGCGTGTTAAATGAGACACAAGACAACAGGTTAAATAAAACACAGATGATGATTGTAGACTAACACCGAGTATATCATATTATAACCTGACATAACCTAACATAACATAACCTAATATAACCTAACCTAAATATAACCTAACATAACCTAACCTAGGCCAACCAAATCTAACCTCAGGTACACCTAACACAATACAATTATAACCCAGTACATCTTCAGGGGTGAGTACATATGCGTTTCATCATGTTACATGTACTTCTAACGTTTTGTACTTGGTCATAACAATTCTTTGGTAATGTCGTTTTTCTTAATGATGACATCCGGCACTGGGTGATGCAACAGCCAGCCTCCAGCCCCCTCCATCTCCCTCTCTCTCTCTCTCTCTCGCGACTCATTCCACCCCCCTCCTCCCTTCACTCTCTCACTTTATTTTCCTATACTGGGTGATGCAATGGTTCTGACTAAATGCTCCCTCCCCCGCCCCCGCCTCCAGGCCTCTCCGCCGTCAGCCTAGACCCTTCCTCACCACCTTCCCCCCTTCGTTCTATCTTTCTATCTCTCTCTCAAGCTCCTACTTTCGCTTTTTCCAAACCAAAGCACACTTTGCTAACTCTGTCTCCCATTCCTTCTTTCTGTCTCAATTTTTCTTCTCTTTCGACTGTCTCCTTTCGGAATCCTCGTATTCACGTCAGCCATACACACACACACACACACACACACACACACACACATCATCATCATCACACACACACACACACACACACAAGCATATTCAGATTCGTAGTTTTTTATATTAAAGTTTCACTCGTGTCATATGCCTGCCACTAAGAACATGGAGTGCCGTTTGTGTGTACAGTCTTGTCTGTGTCCGCACGTAAACTCCATGGACGCTAACTTGACACATTAAGAGTTTTAGACTAAGATTTGACCCAACGCAGGTGCCCCCTTACGTCCTGAGGTCAAAAGGTTAGTGTGGAGGTCGTGAACATGACCCTGAGTTAAGAAGGGACATAGCCCACGTCTTCTCCATTGTAGTCCACACAGTAGTCAACTCCTTGGCTTTGTCGTCTCACACAACAAGACAAAATTCATCTCACGTTCTCCTCGGCGTCAGACCCGTTGAGCTGTTGTTGTCCAGGTTGTCAGTCAGTGGTAGTGACGGATTTAACTTCTTCAGTCCCCTTACCCAGGGTCTAAAATTAAGCTCTTCTATTAAAGTTCTACTACGTCTTATGGACATCACCGCCGTTGTTCTCCGCTACGAGAAACATGGCAGCGACAAAATACAAAAAGTACTTTGGGAAAAGAAGCGCTGCGGCGCGGACTGCTATTGTCTCTGCCTGCGATATACGATCCTGACCTTACCGCCATCTTTGTTATCTAAATTCTCCAAGGTGAGCTGCGAGCATCTCTGTTATGTTCCCTACCCACCCGGAGGCACTCTTACACCGGCTCTACCACCCGTCCTCACGTCATTGACCCACCAACGGCTTCTGACATTCTAGATCTCGGATACTATATTTACACGTACTCGCTCTCTCTCTCTCTCGAATACTTTCAAACACCTCAGAGAGTTCTATCTCTCTAAGTTTTAACCTAGATGGTCTGACACCAACCTCAATACGCGCGACCTTAATTGTTGAAGTGGTTAATCTTTATAACAGCATCAACCACACCTCTCCATTCGGATCGCATCCACATTCGTGACCCCCATCAGATCCCGTCCACCACACCTCTCCATTCAGGATCCCGTCCACCACACCCTCCAGATCCGCCACCATCTTTCCACCAAAAAAGAGCTAACCCCAAACTCATCAACAGCGAAAACGAACGATGATCGTCCTTTCTGCCCCCGACTACTACCATTAGGTCTGTTAACACACTGGGCAGAGCTTTACTAGGGCAGCAGTGTGGCTCCTCAAGTGACAAACTCGGAAGATAAATGTCCATGCCTAGGTCTCCTTCACAGACACTGAAACTTGAGCCATCCGTGTGTGTGTGTGTGTGTGTGTGTGTGTGTGAGCTGACTTCGCCCGCACTGAACTGAATGACGAGATCTCCTTTTTACTTTTATCCTCTTCGCCACTGATCGGCTCGTTAGCCACTTGGGCGATCGGTCACGTCTCTGTTACGCACTGAGGGCAAATACTGGGCATGCACCGGCTCCTGAATGTACCTGAACCCGCTCCAGTGTTGGTCAAGTCTTGTCTTGAAAGAGCTCACACTCGGTGCCGTCACAACACTTTCTGGTAGATTGTTCCAAGAGTTTACAACCCTCACTCCGAAAAAGTTTGCCCTCAGAGTTTTCTGGACTTGCGGCTTCTTCAATCTTGAGCTGTGACCCCTTGTGGGGCGAGCGTCCGCCAGCTCCAAGTAAGGACACTCGACTGAGTAGTGCCCCTTGAGATGCTTATACACCTGAATTAGGTCCCCCCTTGCCCGTCTGTAGTATAAGCTAGGCAAGTTCAGGCGCTCCAATCTCTCAGGGTAGCCGAGGTTTCGAAGTGCAGGCACCAGTCTGGTGGCCCTCATTTGAACATTTTCAACCAACTGACAGTCCCTAGCATATCTCGGGGACCGGGCGGGGTAACAGTACTCCAGATGGGGAAGCACTTCACTCTTGAAGATCGTTACGAGGGACGGACCGTCTAGATATCTGAACGACCTTCTTATAAGACCCAATAATTTATTTGCCTGATTTACCTTCTGCTCGCAATTGCCCGAGAATTTCAGCTCATTGTCAACATACACACCTAGGTCCTTCTCACATTCAGTCTCAAATAGTGCAGTTTCTTCCTCCCGTTGGGACATATGATACGCCTCCTTACCGTTGGTACGCCCCAGGTGCATCCTGTTACACTTCGTGACATTGAATCTCAGCAGCCATTTCTTCGACCATTCTTGGAGCCCACAGAGGTCCTTCTGCAGCTCTTCACAGTCCGCTTGGTTCTTCGTTTCCCGAAATAACTTGGCGTCATCGGCAAACATTTGTATGGAGAAGTGTACTGTACAACGTCAGGCATGTCATTTATGAAACAAACAAACAACAGAGGGCTCAATACACTGCCCTGTGGTACCCCGCTTGTGACAGGTACGGATTATGATTTCGTGACATTAATCACCACACACTGCTTGCGGTCATGTAGAAAGTCTTCTATCCACGCTAGGACATTTCTCCGAATTCCGTACCCTTCCAGTTTGATTTTCAGCCTTTCGTGAGGTACACTGTCGAAAGCCTTGGCAAAATCTAGATAAATGTTGTCGATTTTACGACCCCGTTCCAGAATATGGGTCCAAATATCCAATACCTTGAGCAATTGTGTTGGGCCGCCCGTTACAAACCGGCAACCCTTTCGGTTCTACCGTACCCCATACTACCTCAACACCTTACATTATGCTGGTCAGGTCGTCAGCGTCACGCAGCTAATAACGCCCTTGATAATCATAAGCCACTTTCCAATCACTGGGGACCTTTTGTTCATCTTGGTATTTACAAAACAGGATCTTCAGGGGCTCTGCAAGCTCGTTGCACAGCTCTCTTAGCACTCTAGGATGCACATGTCAGGGTCGGGACTCAGCGCTGCCCACGTTTTCCGTCAGCCAACATACACCCTAGCTGGTATCGCCGGGCTACATGGACCTCATAACGCCCACATCAAGTATGTTTATCAGTTTCTCTCACGTAGGAAATGTCTTCCGCGACACCATTGATCACCCAGGCAGAGGAGCTGCACGTGAAGAGCACAGATGTCATCCTCGCCCCCTCTCTCTCTCTCTCTCTCTCAGTTGTCTCATACTGTACCTCAGACACACCAGAACGCAATCTTAAATGTCAGGAGAGCCGCACACACCGCACCACAACGACGCAGTTGCTGGAGATGCCAACCGTAATGATAAAGATTATTGAAATAATCGATCACAACAGATTACGTAAACAGGAGAGCAGCGTAGATATACTACAAGTTTCAGTGGGAGTACAGTACAGTACTGTACCAAAACCTCCTCCTTTACCGGTGCCCATCACGTCCTCCCTCGTGACCAAACATCGCTCCTCCGCCTACAGACAGACAGACCAGACACTCCATACAGATGAACCTGCACATGGAGCCTCTGTCACCACAAGTAACTGAATAATGCAACCATTGGCTCCTTAGGCACCCGCACCCATTAGTGGAAATATAGTTCAGTAATCATCTAAGTCTAACAAGATAAACATGACCCCACATGCGCCCCTGCTGACAACCCAGGATGCCAGGGAGTGCTCGATAAACTAACTCCTGAGCCTGAATGGGACAAATGAGTAATTGAAACTTTCTCTGTTATTTCCCTGAGACCTTATATGATATTTACACAGATGAGAGATCGTCTTTCTCTAAGAACCAGAGGCATACACACACATGATTGACCTTGACCTGGGATATTGATTACACTTCTAAGGTCAAAATCAGGGTCAATCTAATTCATTATCATTTCATCGACACTACCGACGTACACGCCATCGCAATCACACTAAAAGGTATGTCCCTCAATATTGTCAATGTCAATGTGCCTCCCTCCACCCCTACTGTACCTGTCCTACCACACCATATCACCTCTACCCCCACTGTACTCCGCCACGCCTAGTATATTGGCATCCCTGAGCCTGGCCGCACTGTTTGTAAACTTTGTGGTCAACCGACTCTCACACCCTCTCTCACCACATCCTCACTTGCCCTATGACCTCCTCCTACAGGTCCCCAGCCGTTACCAATACCTCTTCCCTCCCTGACCAGATATACCTCCTCCTAGTGACAGGCCTGACACTTGACATTATTAGGGACCTGCCACGCTTTGCCATAAACAGATGAAATGTACCGGAAACTTTCCTCCCACACACTCATCATTCTGTCACTTTATGTAACTTGCTGACAAAACCTATAACCCCTCAGGTTTTTACGCCCTTACTGCATGAGTCATAAAGGCAAGCATGAACTCTGCATGCTTCCCAGGTGGGCGCTGTAAACGCTTCTGCGCTTCACCTTGCACAGGATGCAAGGGGGTGCCCAATAAACTAGCCCCCTCGTGGGCAATCTAATCTTAAAAAAAAATCAAACCTTATCGACTTAGAGTTTCTGTAATCTCTGAAAATCAGTTCTGGAGTTGCAAAACAAACCGAAGGGCGTTGTGGAGGCAAGAGTTGTTGTAGAGTAAGAGTTATGGAGGCAAGAGTTGTTGTGAAGTAAGAGTTATGGAGGCAAGAGTTGTTGTGAAGTAAGAGAGAGCTATGGAGGTAAGAATTGTTGTGGAGTAAGAGTTATGGAGACAAGAGTTTTTGTGGAGTAAGAGTTATGGAGGCAAGAGTTGTTGTAGAGTAAGAGTTATGGAGGCAAGAGTTGTTGTGGAGTAAGAGTTATGGAGGCAAGAGTTGTTGTGAAGTAAGAGAGAGCTATGGAGGTAAGAGTTGTTGTGGAGTAAGAGTTATGGAGGCAAGAGTTGTTGTTCGAGTAAGAGAGAGCTATGGAGGTAAGAGTTGTTGTGGAGTAAGAGTTATGGAGGCAAGAGTTGTTGTGGAGTAAGAGCTATGGAGGCAAGAGTTGTTGTGGAGTAAGAGTTATGGAGGCAAGAGTTGTTGTGGAGTAAGAGTTATGGAGGCAAGAGTTGTGGAGTAAGAGTTATGGAGGCAAGAGTTGTGGAGTAAAAGTTATGGAGGCAAGAGTTGTGGAGTAAGAGTTATGGAGGCAAGAGTTGTGGAGTAAGAGTTATGGAGGCAAGAGTTGTGGAGTAAGAGTTATGGAGGCAAGAGTTGTGGAGTAAAAGTTATGGAGGCAAGAGTTGTTGTGGAGTAAGAGTTATGGGGGCAAGAGTTATGGAGTAAGAGTTATGGAGGCAAGAGTTGTTGTGGAGTAAGAGTTGTTATAATATTATTATTACGCCTCAACAACTACGGTGTTTAACCGAGTGACAAACCTAGTAATTACACCATTCCAACTGTGTATGTAGCGGCCCAAGGACATCATGCCAAGGTGTAAGACACTGACAGCTTACCTTACAGGGACCAAACCGGTATAAGACAAAAACTGGTTCCTTCTTTCTTTCTCCTCAAAATATCATTACACCTTCCCTCCTACCTTGGACCAGCTCACCTCAGCCTAGCTAAGGACAGGCCACCCTAACCTACTCTATGTTAGTACATCCCAGCCAAATCATCTGAGTCGAACCTAACCTAACCTACACCAACCCAACTTTATATTCAGTACAGTGACGCGACACCGATACACATCTGTTGCTTAAAGGTGGAGCATCCAGACGGCCGGCACAATATAAGCAACAGGTGTGGGAGGATGGCGGCGATCGATTGGCAGACTCACAAACCAGAGACGAGGTTAAAATAAATGCAGGAGTACAATAATATTAATTCGTATTTTAATCAGTGTATAATATGATTAAGATTATGTGGCAATTTTTAGAAATGTTATAAAAAATAACCATATTTAATGCTCATTTCAGGAATAATCTGAACTCTAATGGTTAATGCTGTACTATATATATATATATATATATATACGGGGTAAACTTGTTCAAGGAGAGGACGACTTTGATTTTGTTTATGAAGTAACAGGTATAGGCTGTGACCTCCACGTCCTCGGCGAACCAACAAAACTGACACAAAACTACATTTTATGTTAACAAGAAAGAATCAGACAAAACACTCAGTGATTCCTTCCCACTAAAATCAAACATAAATCAAATACTTTTTGCCGGGTGGCTGAAGGCCTATGTCATTTCATAAACCATTTTAGACGCCCCCCCCCCCTCCCGCCAAATTTGCATTCCACGAATTCTAACAAACGTTTTTGTACATAAATCCTAAGAATGCAAACCATTTTAAGAATGATAAAAATATTAATGACAACACTGTAATAATAATAATAATAATAATAATAATAATAATAATAATAATAAAGAAATACAATAATAAAAAAGTCAATAGTGAGAAACGCTTTATGTTGTGTTGTCAAATAAGAGAAACAATTGAAACCTGCAATTGTGTGTAATAAATGAGACAGAAAAACATATCAGCAACCTGAGAATTGGTCATAATATTCATGTTATATAGCAGCAGGGTCTACCATTAGACAACACATTATGCTTCCAATAGCTTCCCAGGCGGTAGTACCTCCCTGTTTGATAGCTGCCTACTACCTACACTCAAGGGCTATATGTATCACGTGCTATATTATCAATATTATTTTTTAGAAAGTACTAGAATGTCGGATCTTGAAGCTAGCCAAATTGAATGGCATTTTCTCGCTCCTCAATTCGCTGAGCAAACCACTCCAAGGACGGTTAAATATGGTGATTGATTTTGTGGACAAAATTAGTGTACTTAATAATAAGAAGCTGGAGTGCTGTGCAAGTACACAGTAACGTAAGGAAAACTGGGCATGTTCAAAAACGTGACCTTAAGTGCTTGGTGAAGAAGACACTGGGAATAGGAAACATGACATCTATTATAGGAGCTGCTGTTCCTCCCTCAGTATACCTCCAGGACATGAGTGAAATGGATATATATATATATATATATATATATATATATATATATATATATATATATATATATATATATATATATATATATTAGGCAACTGTATTACATGACCTCTCTCTGTCCATGTAATACAGTTACCTCTGAAGATGTAATAAAGACGAAATAAGGTGCTCCGTTGTTTCCCTTTTCCCGTGTGATTTTATCAAGATTTATCCTATCCACGTTTTCATTGTGGATCTACATGAAATATATATATATATATATATATATATATATATATATATATATATATATATATATATATATATATATATATATATATATATATATATATATATATATATATATATATATGATATATATATATATATATTCAAAGTATATATATATTATATATATATATATATATATATATATATATATATATATATATATATATATATATATATATATCCCTTCAAAACGAGTCTTATCCTACTGGGGCTAATGGGGCCGTGAAGAGCACTGTTAACGGTTTTTCAAAAGCTGCCTCTATAAGCGAGATTTGTCAATCGGTTTAGCATCCAATCCAAATTTTGAGTCAGGTTTTGGCGAAAGGTCACAACACTCACATTGACTTTCTCAGCTATAGTTGCCCAACTGTGTACTGGATTTTTTAACAACAATTGTTCTTTTAATATGTTTATTTCATTAGAAAAAATATCACTATTGAATTTCGAAAACCCCGCCCAATCGTTTTAAAACTCAAGCCATGTGTAGTGAGAAAAGATTTTGAGAACCTGTGGAGCTAAAACGCCTCCTACTGCTCTGACATTTGCTGTTACACTGATCGGTTAAAGTAAAATACGTTTTTGTTATATGTACAATTTTTCTTCTTATACAATATACTGTATGTTTACAAACATTACTCGAGTTCGTCAAACTATACTCACAATATACAGTATATATAATACTTGTACCTCGGGTGTTTTATTACATTTATACATAAATCTAGTGTACAAATAAAATGAGTCATAAGTTAGGAAATTTTACTCATCTTGAGATAAAATTCATGTAGTTACCACCAACATATGTTTCCATAAAATTAATATAATAAATCATGCAAAACTATATGAGCCTCATTACAACCGCAAAACTCCACTCTCTTATTAGCCACCGCTACCAACCACTCACCATCTGCGCCAATGTAACAGTGACTTATGACTTTGAAGAAGGAAGCAGACACCATCTTGACCGCCTGCCTCACCTTCGCGCCAAAGTCGACTGACAAGGTGGCATAGTTTTGCGCATGTCACAGTTAAAGCAAATCAATGAATGAATGAAAATTTGTACTCTGTATATATCAGTTTAAGTACATGATATCATTTACTGGTGATAACTATGGATATATTGGTATCTAGCTGATTACAAAGCAAGTACTTCTATAAAAGAAACTTTGTCATAGATGAGTATTGATTCAGGCTGTGTACGTGACTGTGCGCGCATAGGTTGGCCCTGGTCTGCACGTTTCCCGCCAAACGTTGTTTTTTTTTTATATCTGTTTAACAAGAAAGGAAGCCGGTGGTTTGTGTAAGTCCCCGCTGTTTATATTAAATTATTGCCTCTTCAAGCAGTTCAGTGTTAGAACAGGAAGAAACCGGAGTATCCGGATAAACCCAGGGATGGTCGGTAAAGCCACTCCCTGCATAGTAACCTTGTTTTACCCGAGGGTTCGAACCCGAGAAGAAATGGTGAAAGCACACATCTGTACTACCAACAGCCCCTACAGTCATTAGCAAGAGTATATCATTCATCGACACTATGTCGAATACAAAGGCATTCAGTAAAGTATAAAAGATAATACAGGAGTACAACCATTCAGACAATTATCTACAGAGACGTGACACGTGCACTCCAGCGCGTCTCTCAAACTACAAGTTTCATGCAGTATTCATTTAATCTACTTAAATTCTCTGAAAATAACACATCAAAAGTCAGTCTTTCTCTATAATATGGTCTCTGGACACCAGGAGAAGAGTATCCCGCCATAATCAAGATTCTGGAAAGATTCCTCCGATTGGAATTTCCCCTTAACTGAGAATGAGAAGGCATCTACCCAAGTACACTGTAATATCAATGTTATTTCAGCTCTAATATTTGTCCTGTACCTTTAAGAAAACAAGTGTAATGCGTTCTCACATCTTCAGTCATAGGAAAAATAAATCTTTGAGAATGTGACGGCGGAAAAAAAATAAATAAATAAGTGTTGACAACAAGACGTGCACCATCGGCTGTTACCTCCCGCGTCACCCATGTTGGGCTGTTCTTCATCCACCGCCTTCTTGTTTATCAGTCTTTGTTTCACATCTTCTGTAGTTTCTTCCTCCCCTGACTGCTCCATGTGAGTGTCTTGCATAATTTTGCTGTCACTTATAATAGTACTATTTTTGTCAGTTGTATTTACTGTTTTGTCTGTCTTAGCTGACGATTTAACATCATTTATTTTGTCAGTTTTGTTTGTTTTCTTGACATCGCTATCTGCCTCGTCTTCTTTATCTACTGGCTTCTTTGTATCTACTTTACCTGATAATTTAACTTTGTCCTCTGCTTTGTCGGGTAACTTAGGTCTGTCCTCTGTTTCGTCTGGTAACTTAGTTTTGTCTGGTAACTTAGGTTTGTCCTCTGTTTTGTCTGGTAACTTAGTTTTGTCCTCTGTTTTGTCTGGTAACTTAGTTTTGTCCTCTGTTTTGTCTGGTAACTTAGTTTTGTCCTCTGTTTTGTCTGGTAACTTAGTTTTGTCCTCTGTTTTGTCTGGTAACTTAGTTTTGTCCTCTGTTTTGTCTGGTAACTTAGTTTTGTCCTCTGTTTTGTCTGGTAACTTAGTTTTGTCCTCTGTTTTGTCTGGTAACTTAGTTTTGTCCTCTGTTTTGTCTGGTAACTTAGTTTTGTCCTCTGTTTTGACTGGTAACTTAGCATTACTAACAGTGTCGTCTTTTGACTTGCTGCCAGTGCCATCGCCTCTTTTATCAGTTATTCCAGCTTCTGTTTTCTGAGGAGTAACACTTAATTTGTTACCTCTCTGGTCTATACCCTTCTGGTCAGGTAACCCAACAGCCTCTTTTCCTGTAGGATCATTTAAGTTAACAATACCCCCTTTATCTTTCTTGTCTGTCAGGTTGTCAGTCATGTCTGCTAATGCACCACTAGTCCCTGCGTTACTTGGTTTGTCTGGTTGATTAACAGCAGAGTTCGCATCCTGTTTTGCGTCAGAGATGCTCTTGTTGCCTTCAGCAATCTCCAATTTTCTGTCATCCTCTGGGAGCGTGTAAAAGACAAGTGTTGCCAATATCATTCACAAATTACAAATTTGAGCATCAATAAAATGTATACATACATATTACATAACAATAACCAAGCTACTTCCCTCATTAGAAATGTTAAAGTTAATCCGTAACTTCCCTCAACGCAAAGGTTAAACAAATGTTGGGTTTACTAGCATCTGGGGATATAACGTTTGTTGCTGAAGCCTCTCCCAAAATTCAATAATAGTATCAATAACAACCAGCATCTGGGTAGAGCGGTACCTGTAAATATCATGCCGAATTCTCTGCTATCCGCCAGCACTGCCTGTAATGACTCCACCATGTCTCATGTAATATTGGTGTATCACTTGATTTTCTTTTCATTTGGTGTGAGTGTTTTAGGTAACTACAAGTGCAATAGTTGATACACGTCAAGAGAAGGTACGGTTGGTGGTGTTACATGTGACGGATGTGACTTGGGTGTAGTTATTTATCCAGTTTTCCTTCTTTTCAAGTGAATAATAAAACCTTTTTATTCTCTTTCAACCTAATTCCCACTACAATACAGGATGGCAGGTATCATGAGTAAACACAAACATTCTCTTCCCATTTATTCTTACTTTGTTCCGGCTATGGCACTCCTCTTCTACACAAAAAAAAATTAATATGCATCACACTAACCAGTATAAACTATCAGCAACACACTCTTTCCGGGAAACTTCTGGAAGCCACACTTCCTACATTACACACACTGCTGCTTCCCGGGTCTCTGTCCCCTTTATTTCGAGTTATGTTTTTCACCCAATCCTTCCATTCCATTCTTTGACTTAATGTCTCCCTCCAGCTATTCAAATCTGAATTACACTTTTTTTTTATCAATACAGTATTTAAGTTCCCATTCTCTCAGTATGTTGGTCCTGTTAGAACCTGATCCTCTTTTGGCAACACTTCTCGACACATACCAACATATGCTTCACTCTCCCTATAAACTCTCCGGACATCATTCAACAAACATTTTCAATACATCGATTTTCCATTTTCGAACCGTTACCATGTACCGTCTCTAAGGTCAGTAAACAACTGTTCTGCTTTAACAATATTTAAACCACCACATCTTCTTCCCCCACCTCATTAACTTTTATAACTTCTTTCTTATTCCTTTTAATTTACCAATCACTATTAACATATTTTCTACCACGTAATAGTGATACACTCAGTACCGCTCATCTTGGCACATATTTATCACTCATTACAAGGGATTTAACTTGGATCCTTGTTAAAATGTTATGGCTCCAGATTTGGAATACTGCAACAGTATACGTGTGCATGAGACAACTCGACCAGTTTCTTGATGAACTTACCATATTTAATAATGTTCAAAGCTCAAATTCATGAGTCTATCGTAGGTGCGGAATATTAAATAAGACGCCATATTTCTTACAAGAACATAATGTATTAAAATTGAAGTGCTTCACAGTCTACAGTACAGGACAGTGGGACTAATCACTATTTTCTTGACCGCTTCTTAACTCACACTAACAGTCACTCTCTTACATTTGTTATTTATTAAATTATTTTAAGTAGTGTTGCTATACGTAAAGGCTAACTGTCTGTTACTCTCATTTCTTATTACTTTTACTGGAGACTAATACACAAACATATTAACTGTTTTTCTTTCTCTTGTGGGTTTTTGGTGCTTTGTTATACTTGAAACTGTGCATATGTTAAATACTGTATACGTATTTGATTACACTTCTATCTACAGTAACAGTATGGAAAATATGCAAACTACTGAGGCTGTGCGGTTTGAAAATATGGTTCAGTGACCTGCCAGGCCCGGCGTCTACTGCACCCCCTTACAACGGAGGCAGACGGTCAGGCAGACAGGCAGTTATGGAACATGCCCTGGAAGGCACCCACCCAGCTTCACTCACTGAACACTGTATGGCTTTCTTCTGTAACCAAAACCACAACTGTACAAATTACTTCGTTTTAAAACATTCAAAAACGATCATAATCGCCCCTGGCAATATTACAGCACATACATTATCTAAGGCAAATAATTACACATAGATCTTATACAGGTACAATACCTCGACTATCTTCACAAAGACCTTATCGTTAAAAATCCGGGAAATTATAATCTTATATACATACTCTTTAAAATACGTACTAGAGGTGGATGCATACACTATATCTCCCACTAAAATTAAGGACCCATCCAGCTGGTATTCAAAACGTGCAGACGGATTGTTATTAATCGCGTTATTTTGGCCAAAACTTTCAAGGAAGCCTTCGTTAGTGGTGGGGGACTACCTTTTAGAAAACATTGAAGGCCACAGACCCACAGCTCACTTACCTCTGCATTTCTTCTCGTCGTCCATGATGCTTAAGTCACTGAATAGCAAATGGAAACGTGTCTTCCCTGCACCGTGTCTGGCGACGGACTGATGCGCGCGTAGACTGTGGAGTCGAGTGGACTCAGAGGTGTAATGGTGGCAGCCCAGCTACCTAGCTACTACCCCCTCCAACCGACGCCTCCACCCTCATTTCCCCTCAAGCTTACAACACAACGCCCCCCTCCCCACCCTTTCTGGCCTTCTACATCACCGCCCCTCCACCCTACCCGCAATATCCCCCCGTCCAGGTCGTACTCGCATTTCAAGGTCACCCGTATACATTGCACAAGTGGTGTGCAATATTGGACTAAATTCATTTGTGAGGTTTTAGGTGTGTTGGTTAAAGTTGACATACATGACTGGTTAAATAAGGTGTGGGGAGGTGCGCGTCATACAGTGAGGGGAATGGGGAGAGGACGCTTCAAGGTGACTCAACCGCCCTCTCATGGCTGGTGGGTGAGGGGGCGCCGCCCCCTCCACTCATACATCACCCTTCTCCCCACCACCACCTACGTCACTCCCTCCCAACGAGAATGGACCACGCCTCACCCTTTCCTCCCTCACTCAAACACTCAACTAGTACGATGTACCGGCAAAGGGTGAACGAACCTTCCTACACAGCCATACACAAAACATAAACACTACCATACACACATTAGGAAGTCAATATTCATATCTCTCACTCCTACGGTGACGTGCCAGATAATTGTGTACTGTAGCGCCTGACAACACGTGTCTCGTACACATAACTGGAGCACTACAATATTAGCTATACAATGGGAAGGAAGGAAGGAAGTTAAATATACTTCAATTATTATTTATTGAAAACCTGCCTCTGATACTGTTAATACACATGTTGTACGATACTGTTAATACACATGTTGTACGATACTGTTAATACACATGTTGTACGATACTGTTAATACACATGTTGTACGATACTGTTAATACACATGTTGTACGATACTGTTAATACACATGTTGTACGATACTGTTAATACACATGTTGTACGATACAATACACATGTTGTACGATACTGTTAATACACATGTTGTACGATACTGTTAATGCACATGTTGTACGATACTGTTAATACACATGTTGTACGATACTGTTAATACACATGTTGTACGATACTGTTAATGTTGTACGATACTGTAATGCACATGTTGTACGATACTGTTAATGCACATCTTGTACGATACTGTTAATACACATGTTGTACGATACTGTAATGCACATGTTGTACGATACTGTTAATGCACATGTTGTACGATACTGTTAATACACATGTTGTACGATACTGTTAATACACATGTTGTACGATACTGTTAATACACATGTTGTACGATACTGTTAATGCACATGTTGCACGATACTGTTAATACACATGTTGTACGATACTGTTAATACACATGTTGTACGATACTGTTAATGCACATGTTGTACGATACTGTTAATACACATGTACGATACTGTTAATGCACATGTTGTACGATACTGTTAATGCACATGTTGTACGATACTCTTAATACACATGTACGATACTGTTAATGCACATGTTGTACGATACTGTAATGCACATGTTGTACGATACTCTTAATACACATGTTGTACGATACTCTTAATACACATGTTGTACGATACTCTTAATACACATTGTAAAGGCTTGGACTTTAAGTCTCTTGCCTCATTTATGGTGCTAATAATAAATTACTATAATAATGTAAAGTTGGCCAAGAAAGTGTTGAGTTGACTTTTGTTTTTAAGTGAAATAATATCCCTTTCCCTAGGTAAAGAGGTACATTTCCTTCTGCCCATTACAGCTAATTAAGTGCATTTGGTAGCCCCGATGAGGAATGTGTACTGATCGTCGCTAACCTCCTTCTCTAGGCAATGGGAAAAAATTTGAGAAAAAAACACATAAGGCAATTCAATGTTATAATATTTTTACATCTTTAGTACTGAGGCGCCATTCACCATTAACTAGGAGCTAACAAAACAATGAAGAGATGAGATTATATATAAAAATCAACCAACAACCTGATTGACCCGCGTTAGGAAGGATATCATCGTATTTTTCATTTTTTTCTCATTTGCCAGACTGCCATCAATGGCCACTAACGCTTTTTCCTCTCAATATAGTTAGTTCGTTAGATGGAGGTTTCATATCTAATGGACCCTCGATATAACAGGTTTTCCTTTCCATATAGTCCGTTAAATAGAGGTTTCATTATATGTTTTACCATAAGACTTACAGGACCTTTACTTTTATTATTAGTTGAAATATAAACGACTGAGTTTACCTTGGTTGACCATAAACTTAACAGAGGGTGATAGTAAGTAGCGCCGCCTGTTAATGTCTGTTACACTGTAATCCAGAAGATACATCACGGGCTACCAGGTGAAACATACCTCGTAGGACTTTTTTTTTAACGGGGATTAGCCCACCCGGGCACAGGTCACTGACCCACATCGGGGCCTGGGGGGGGGGATGTAATGATGATGATAATAATAATAATAATAATAATAATAATAATAATAATAATAATAATAATAATAATAATAATAATAATAATAATAATAATAATAATAATAATAATAATAGTAATAATAATAATAATAATAATAATAATAATAATAATAATAATAATAATAATAATAATAATAATAATAATATTAATAATAATATTAATAATAATAATAATATTAATAATATTAATAAAAAGAAATACAAAAATGAAAAAAAAAAGATCAAGAGTGAGAAACAATATACTGTATGCATGTTGTGTTATCAATGGTTAGAGAAACAATTGACACCCTGCAATTGTGAGTTAATATGACAGAAAGTCAGATGAGCAACCTGGAACATAACCTCGTAGAGCTTGCATTCCATCATCTCGTTCTTTGTTAATCTAACCAAATTATTTTTTTAATCAAACTACTTTTTATAAAATATACTGTTTTAATTTTATTTGGGGGCTTTTTCTTTGCAATTGCATTTTGTTATTTGTTTCCTAGTGAGCTCTTCTTTTGGCCAACTCTAATATGTTGATAACTACCGGTACTTTTATGGCCAACTGTACTTTTGGGGAAAACTTTACCTTTTTTGTGGACTCCAATTAAGCCAACTAATGTATATTGTTTGTCCAGTTCTATTTTTTGCCAGTTCTATTTTGACCACCTTTATACTTAACAACTTTTTTTTACCAATTCCACTCTTGACAATTTTATACTTTTGGCCAACGATGTTTCTGTCAACTAGCGCATGGATATATATATATATTTTTTTGGCCAACTGTACTTTTTAGCCAAGAAAATTTATTGGGTCACCTGATCTTTCCGCATGAAAAAAAAAATAGGAGAGAATTACGTGACTAACAACGATGATATTAACAGACTTGAATAAATGCGAAATTAAGCCTTAATGTGTGTCCATCGAACATTAAATTAATATCATGATATCCATTTTTTTTACATGGTGTGCCAGATGATAGTGTCTCCGTAGAATCGAAGCAATATGTGAGTCATGAAGCAGGTGGTTGAATAAAACTGCAGTTACGCACGAGGATACGTTTAGCCCCACGCCACCTTTACAGGGCCATCAAGTCATAAGTTTACACAAGGCCTGAGAACCAACAACATTTCCCGTCACCCTGGCAGACTCTGACACCTTCACACCTAAACAACTAAATATACATAATAATCTTTACCTACAACAGACTGCAGAAAAAAGTGCTCTTAAACACATACATAACCTTCAGTGGAAACACCAGCGTACAAAACTGTCAATAATGATGGCTTCCTCAACGCACATTGGTTATATACTGTAGTCTAGAGAAGGGAGTCACGCTTAACAAACTGAACTCTATAGAAAACTTCTTAATACACAGCAAGGAGAGTTTTGTGGTCAGGAGTTCCAACATATATTGGTAACTTGCTCAATGTTCTCCTGCAAATATTTTTCCTAATGTTTGCTGTGCCTGTGTAGTAGATTTTATTTTTTAATGCTTTATTCTCTTCTGAAGTGACTAGAGGTTTCAGTGTCCCGATGGCCTGGCTCCCGGGATTTCAGTTTTCACGTGACGTCTGTTGGAGGGTTCTGTGCTGTCAGTCCAGTAATGTGTTTACAATTCATAATAAATGTAAGTAGCAACAAACAACTTATATAAATGTAAGTAGCAACACAACTTATAATATATGTAAGTGGCAACAAACATAAGTAGCAAAAAACACCTTATAAGGGTAATATTTGTATCCGGACACATTTATTCCTCTGTGATCACAGTGCTCCAGATACTTCAGGCAGATAACAGGATGACGGGAGAGGAAAGAAGGGAGAATGAGGGCACGGAAAGGTGACCCTTCCTCCCACCACTTGCCTTCACAATAACCCTTCCTTTTACCCCTCACCTCGCCCTTAGCCAGAAGATGTTCTGTGACGGATGTGATTCAAGACAATTGTGGGATCAGTCTTTTATCCATTCGGTCGGTCACGGGTTATGTTGTTCATATGGGAGAATGGGCAGGTAGGTGAAGCAGGCAGGTAGGCGGGCAGGTAGGGCAGGCAGGTAGTCGACGTAGGGGGTGTAGTTGGTGACGTCACGTCTTCGCAGCTGCTTGGCAGTGTGCTGTTGGCTGGGAAGGTTCATGAAGGTTTCATTACTTCCTCACTTATTTACGTTTCTGGATCAAAAGTTGATGCTTTGGAAAATTAAAATATGGGACACTTTGTTGAGTTATTGATTCTGGGAGTGTTTATGTAGTATTTAGTGAGTAAAAAGCTACAATGCTGCAGCTTTTCGTGTCATTTTGTTGAACTTAATAGCATGCAGATATCTCAAAATTTCACTAAAAGCTGCTTTTATTTCCTTCCATGTCACTAATGTGTTAAATGATAGAATTTCAAAGAGAAGATGTCTTATTAACACAATATTGGTAACACTGAATTATGAAAGCGGATGTACAGTACCTCGTAAGGAAGTTTTCAGGTGATAACACTGGTGTGCGATGTGGGCCGTTGCTGTCAATATTTTTAGCCTCACTGGTCCTCAAGAGGCCCTTGAACATTATTTTTCTAGCGGGTGGCACATTAGACACCTGACAGCAGAGTA